ATTATTATTATTTATTTTTTTCGAAAAGAAAACTTTTTTCAATTTTTTATATATTTTTTTTTTTAAATAAATTTTTTAAAAAGTTTAGTCACTCCTTAAAGGTTACAAATTTTAATATTTGGCTTCCTTTTAATATCCGATTTTGCCGACTCGTCGTCGTCGGCGACGGCGGTGGCGGCGGCGATGACGTCACCAAATCGCCGATAATCGGCGTAAAAAAGGGATCGTATTAAAGGATATCATAAACATATCGATAAAATTATTTATTATAATATAAATATATATATATATTATCATTTATCGTTATCATTTTATCGGTTTACGTTATTTAATTATATTTATATATATATATATACATTCGTGACGTCATGAAGTTTAAAAAAAAAAAAAATCAAATTTTTTTTATTAGAAAACTACAATTCTACTAGAAATTTCATTAAATTTTAGTAAAAAATTTATAAAGTTTATTACAATCGTGAGTGAAAATGTTTCCCATTAAAAAAAACTTTTTCTTTCCTTTTTTTTTTTTTTTACAATTTTCTTCCAACCGCTTCTTTTTTTTTTTTCTCCTTCCACGACTTTTTCTTTCCCTTCCTCCCTTCTCCCCCCATTCGAAAAACATCGAAGGAAAACCAATTTTCAACGTGACCTATTAAACCTAACGAAGAACTTCTGCTCTCGACTCGTCTTTTTAACGTTTTGCCTTTTTTTTTCTCCTTTTTTTCTTCCTTTTTTCCTTTCTTCTCTTTCCTTTTTTTTCCTTCTTCTTCTTCTTTTTTTTACTTTATTGTATTTATCAGGAAATGAGGAAAATTTCTTTAACGAAATAATTAAAAAAAATTAAAATAAATAAATATACAACATTAAATTAATTATTTATTTATTTTTAGTTTATTTAAATTTTATTTTTAAAAAAAATAAATAATGATAATTAAAACTTTTAAGTTAAAGTGAGGTAGGGAGGCGGAGGCGGGGAACGGGGGGCAGCGGAGGAGGAGGAAAACGATAATAAAAACAAATAAAATTTATTTATTTATCATTATTATTATTTAATCGATTTTTATTTTATTTTTATTTTTGAACGACTAAACGATTGAAAATTAAACAATTAAAAAAGGAAAAAACAAAGGAATAAGTCAATTTAAAGGAAAAAAATAAAAAAACAAACGAATCGGTAAACAAACAAACAAACAAACAAGACAACGAGTAGGGGGGAAAAAATAAAATAAATAAATAAAAAAGAAAAAAAGATTAAAAAATAGTTTTTTTATTAATTTAAAAAAAAAAATTTATTATTAAAACGATTTAAAATAAATAATTAATGATAAATATTTATTTTAAAAAACAAAAAGGCGGGAAAAATAATAATAATAATAATAAATTCCTCTAATTGTTTGTTCGTTTGTTTTTTTTTTTTTTTAATCTTAAAAAATATAAGAATTTTTTTTTTTTTTTTTTTACGGGAAGTTGTTTTTTTTTTTTTTTTTAAAATTTTCCCCTTAATAACAAAAAGAAAAGACGATTTAATTCCGATTGCTGTTTTTTCGTTTGTTTGTTCGTTTGTCTAATTAAAACAAATTTAAAATTATAAAAAAAAAAAAATTATATATTTTTATATGTTATAAAACGTTGAATTTGCCAAACGATCGGGTTTGCTTTCAATTTTTTCTATTCCCCCCCCTCGTTTTTTTTTTTTTTTTTTTTTAATTAATGATTTCATAGAGTATATAAAATATTATTATTTTATTCCGGATGTAAGAAAAACGAAAGGTGAAAAAGGAAAAAAAAAAAAAAAACTTTCGTTAGACTTAATAAATTTTTTTTTTTTTTTTATAATAATAATAAAAAGTAATAGGATTTTGAAAATTTTTTTTTTTGTTAAAACGTTTTCGTCTTTTTTTTAACGGGATAAAATAAATTTTAAGAAGAAATCATTATTATTATCATCATCATCATCCCCATCATCGCCATCATCATCATCATAGTCATCGTTTAAATTTTTTTTTTTAAATAAAATAAAAAAGAAGAAAAAAATTTTGTCAATGCGCCTTCGGTCATTCATTATCATCATCATCATCATCATCATCATCATCACCATCATCACCATGATAAAAAATTTAAAAGTTTTTTAGTTTTTTATAAATGATAATAATTTTCGGGTGTGGATGTGTGTGTGTGTGTTTGTTTCAAAAACAAACAGATGTTGTTGAAAAATCAAAAACATAAATAATAATAATAATAATGATAATGATAATAAGAAGAAGAAAAAGAAAAAGACAAAAAAAAAACATTTTGGAGAGTGAGTGACAAAACGTAGTTATAATAATAATAATAATAATAATAATAATAAAATTAAGATGGTTCCGGAAAATAGTTTTTTTTAGTTTTTATATAATATTAACACATAAACACCAACGGTTACCTGGTTGCCACGACGTACCATGAATATTATTATTATTAAAAAAGAAATTTTTTTATTGGTTAAAAGAATATCAAAGTTTTTTGTTTTAATAAAATGGTCGATCGATGTGTTAGATAAACATGCGCGCAACTACTTTTTTAACAATACAACGCAATAATAAAAATTGTCATCTAACTCTTGACGTTATTCATTCATTAATCAATTTTTTTCTTATGCCGAGTTTTTCACGTGCGTTTCTTTTTTTTTCCGCACGATTTCACGGATTTATAACGATAACAACGCATTGTTTATCAAAACAAAAACAACGACAACCACGACAACAACGACATCGCACAATTGAATATTTTTCGGCGACGGGGACGACTAAAAACAAAAAAAAAAAATTAAAAGTAAATAAAAATAAAATTAAAATATTTGTAGTAAAATTTTTTTTTTTAAAACGCGAGCAATAAATTTTTTTTTTTTTTTTAAAAGGAAAACGACGCCCAAAAGAAAAAAAAAAGAAGAAAATTCCAGAATGTTCTTTTTTTCTTTTTTTATTTTACGATAATTTATTACTCTTGTGAATTTTTTTTTTTTTTTTCTTCTAAAAATTTTTTCCATTTAAAAAAATTAATAACTTATTTTGTAATAAATTATTTTTGAAAAAAAAAAAAAATGCACACGGTTAATAAATAACTTACATAGTTTATGTATGCAGTTGCGTAGCCGAAAAAAAAAATGTATAAATATTTTTTTTAAATTAGTGACCGTTACTTTTTAAAAACTATTTTAATCATTCATTCATTCAATCATTCCATAACAACCTGAGGTTGTTTGTTGTTCGATGGACAAACAATCCGGTCGACAACAACAAAATTTTTTTAAATCTTTTTTTTTTTTTTTTCGTTATTAAATTTTTTGATAACATCAAATGATATTCATTAAATGTTTTTTTATCTATATATATTGGATTTTGGCAGAAAAATTCCGTTAAATATCGATTTCACTCAAGAGAGAGAGAGAGAGAGAGTGTGGAGTGAGAGGAAGAGAGAGAGAGACACTTAAACATTCTGGAAATTTTTTTTTAAAAAAAAAAAGATTTTTTATTACTTTTTTTTTTTTTTTTTTTAACTTCAGATTAACTTTGAATCAAAACACCTGATTCATTTCTTTTTTTCTGCTAAAAGGAAATCATTTTTAATTACGTTTCCGGTTCCGGTTTTTGAAATTTTTTGGCGGGAAAATTTCAAAAAAGATTTTTTTAAAAATTTAATTGCATGATAACGCGTGAGGCGTAGACGTAAAAAAAAATTAATGACGTCGCATTTTTTTTTCGTATGTAAAGTTAAATTTTATTTTTTTCCTGGAGAAAAAAATATGCTGGAAATAGAAATGTTGTGTTGCTCTAAAAAAATAATAATTACAAACGTATTGAAATTTTGATCGTAAGTGAATTGACACGTTTGAAAAATTTACGGATAAAAATTGAAATTTTAATACGTTTGAATGATTACTGGAACGAAAAAAATAACTGGAGAAGAACGAAAAAAAAAATGAGAAAAAACTTGTCCAATTACGTACGTTACGGGGGGGGGAGAAGGGGTGGGAAATTTTTTTAACGGTTCGTAAAATTAGACATCGTGACGAATTTAAAATAAAGTTTTTGGAGAAAAGAAAATAAATTTTTTTTTTAAATTCGTTTTGAGTACGAAAATAAATTAAAATTTTGGGAAAAATCTGGAATAATCTGGAATCAATATATATATATACGCATCAGAATCGTAATTTTAATAATAATAATAATAATATTTTAATTGATACGATTTGTAAAAACGTGATTGATAACGAATTTATTGGATTTTGTAAAAAAAAAAAAAAAAAACTTTTCCAAACAATTCCTGGAGAAAACGAATTTAAAAAAAAAAGTTTAAAAGGCTTTTTTATATACAACTTTACTGGAGAAATTGTTTTGCTGACTTATAAGAGGATAAAAAGGTATTTCCAGTTACATTTCAATAAAACGTTCAATTACAAATAGCTTTAACAGACACCTGCCCGTAATTTTTTTTTTTAACTCAAACAAAAAAAAAATTTTATTATCATTATTATTATCAGTATTATTATCATTATCAGTATTATTATTTTATTGTATCTCTCTCTCTCTCTCTCTCTTTTGTAGTAGTAGTTAAAGGGAAATAATGATAAATTTATTTATTTATTTGTTCTTAATCTTTTTTTTTTCATTCTTTCTCCAGTATCATTGTTATCATCGTAATTGTTTGTATTATTATTATTATTTCTTTACAGTTAAACCTTTCACATTCGTTTGTAACGTTCCTGGAAAGGGGAGAAGAGGGGGAAGAGAAGGGGGGTGGGAAAAAAAAGGAAAACCAATAAATAAAGTATTTGATTGTCGTGTAATGTTATCGTCTTTTGTATTTTTTTATAAATAAATTTTCCCAATAAGAAAAATAAATAAAAACAAACGAACGAACAAACAAACAAACAAACAAGCGGAAAGTTTTGTCGCAACAAACAAACGAAAACTTTTACCGCAAAAAAACAAACGGAAAAAAAAAAAATTTTTTAACTTTTTTCAATCTGCGTTCCAAAACTCGCACGTGACTCGCGTTTGTCGTTTGTTTCCTGGTACACTTTTTTTTTTAATAACGTGCAGTATCACGTGTCGTTCTCCAGTACAAAATTCTCCAGAAATTACCTGGAATCAATAATTTTTTTTTTACCAAGTTTCGATTTTGGTTTGCATTTAAATGTTGTTTCAGTAAATTTTTTTCTTTTTTTTCCTCTCCAGTTTTTTTCCCAGGTTTCATTTTCATCTCGGTATTAATTTACAAATTTTACAATATTTTCTCCAGGACAACCCTTGCGTTTATTCATTAAATAACAATAATAATAATAATAATAATAATATAAACAAATAATTACACAAATTATAATTATCGTGAAGAAATTTCGGACGTTTCTCTCAAAATTTCCGTGTAATAATTTTCGTGAAATTCGATTTCTCCAGAATAATTCTTTTTCTGGACGAATCGATCGAATTTCTGGAGAATCAAAAGTCGGGAATATATATGTACACATACGACATTTATGTTATATAAATTTAAACTGACGTACGAAAACTTGAAAGACGTTAAATTCTCTCAGAACTTAAAAAAAAAAATTCTAAACCGCAAATTTTTCGTAACTTTTTGACGAAAAAAAAACTTTATAATAATAATAATAATAAAAAGCCAACGGCCATAGCATGCTGGACACACCGGTTCCCGTACGATCACCGAAGTTAAGCAGCATCGGGCGTGGTGCAAACTTGGATGGGTGACCGTTTGAGAACGCCACGTGCCGTTGGCTTAAAAAGAGCAAAAAAAAAAAAAAAAAAAAAAAAAAAAAAAAAATGAGAACAAGACAAAGTAAGAACCAAAAACAAATCTTGTTCTACTGTCGACCTGAGGCAGCTCGACGAGAATGTGAATTTTCACTGCTTCTGATCCTGGCCACTCCAAAGATGTTAGTCACCGGAGCCCAGTTCAGGAGACAAATCGTTCCCATCGAAAAAGACGGACTCAGGAAGACCTTCAAGAATTGATGTGGTGCTATCTTATAATAAGTGGCACCACCGAAATTCGAGTATTTGTCCCTAAGGAATCGGGTAGAAACCTCGGATAAATACTTAAAAAACCCCGACAAGTAGCCTTGTCGTGTTTAATGGTGATAATAATAATAATAATAATAATAATGATAATAATTTTTTATTCTTTCATCCGTGAACAAAATGGCGGCCACGACGTTTAAAAAATTTTTTCGAGTGTGTGTGTGTGTCGCGTTTAAATTTCGACTTTTTATGTACGAGTTAATAAAAAAATTTGATTTTATACTTCGCACGTATGCATACATATTTACATAATGCTTGTTTAAGCGATAGTAAGAAGAATCGTGGCAGAAGACGAACCGGGGGAAAAATTCTGCTGCCACGTTGTTTGGGCCCTCTCACTCACTCCCCCGATCGATGAATGAATGAATGAGTGATATAAAAATAAGCATGTATGTATACATATAATATAAAATATTTATGTTTTATCGGTAAAAAAAAAAAAACAAAAAAAATATATAAACTAACTAAATCAAAATGGAGGGTAAAGTTGAAGAGGGCAAAATGATAGTATATAACAATCCATTTTAATATAAAAAAAAAAATTTTTTTTTTCTTTCCGTTCCCTTCCATTTTATTTTATTTTATTGTGTTTATTTTTTTATTATTTTTTTTTTTTGAATCTTTATGGAAGCCATTATTTTTCATTTTATTGTTTGCTTTTTTTCTCTCTCTCTCTCTCTTCTCTCTTTTACTACTTCTTTTTTGGTTTTATATATAAAAGAAAAAATTTCTTTCTTATTCTCCAAAAAAGAAAAATCCTTAATTCAAATAATAATAATAATACAAGAATAGTAGTAATTCGTCACTATGTTACGTCATCGAGGTCGGAAACAACAATTTCAAAATGACGTTTTTTTTTTTTTTCATTCGAGTGTTTGCGATTTTCCGTTTCCGTTTTTTTTTTTATTATATTCGTGTGCACTTGAAAAAAAACGAAATTTCTTTTTCTATTCGTTTTGGAAAATTCCACAACCGCCATCACCGCCGCCGACGATTTTTTTTTTTTTGTCAAAAAAATTTTTGGCGCCGAAATTTTTTTTTTTTTTGTTCCGGAAAATTTTTCGTCATTAACATCTCATTTAAAATTTTAGTAACTTTTTTTTTAATAATAATAATACATAATAAATTTTTAATTATTATTATTATCATTATGAAACCTTTAAATTATTATTTAAAAAAAAAATATATATTAACATAAATTAATATTTCATTTTTTAATAATTATAATGGCGATGATGATGGTAATAAATTTAATTTTTTTTTTTAATTGAAATTTTTCAAAATTTAAATTTTCTTCTTCGTTCTCTTTTGTTTATACAACAACCAAACAATCGTACAAACAATTTTTTTTTTGTTTGTTTTCTCTTCAGTTCGATAAGATTATTTTCCGGTTAAAAAAAAAAACCGTTAGAGAAAAAAAAGTGACATAGAAATCAAATTATTTTTATCGAATTATTAAAAACAATTTTTTTTTTTTTTTACGATCGGTTGTTTGTCGTTTGTTTGTTTGTTTACAACAACAAACGTTATAATACGATTGAATACAATTAAATTCGTCACAAAAACTTTTTGTTTTGTTTTTCTGCGGTAGAAAAAAAAGGAAACACGTAACGTTTATACGTAATTTACATAATTTTTTTTAATTAAGCCCTTTTTCATCCCTTTAACACCGCCGCCACCACCATCACCGCTGCCTCCACCCCTAACTCCTACAGCTATAATTTTTTTTTCCCCCCCTACTGTTTCCTATCGTAATAATTAACTACAAACGCTATTACAACAGCCTTTTTTTTTTTAAAAAAAATTAATATTTTATTATATGAATTAATCACGATTACGTCATCGTTTTAGAAAAAATATTCGATAAATCGATTTTATATCGATTATTATTAATAAAAATCTTTTTTTTTTATTAGATTATAAAAGTCATTGATAATAATAATAATAATAATAATAATAATAATTAGAATCATTCACAAAACGTCAAAACAATAAAAAAAAGGAAAAAAAGGAAAAAAAGGAAAAAGTTTGAAAATTTAAAAGTTAATAAATGAAAATTGACCGGTCAATTTAAAAATTTTACTTTTTTTTTATTTTTAAATGTTTTTGACGTTTTTTAACGAGGGTGAGGGGAAAGGGGTGAGCGTGTGGGAGGGTGAAAAGGTCAAAAGTAATAAAAATATTATACCGACGAATGTAAAATGCAGGGAAAATTTTTTTTTTTATATATAAAAACGACGACGTAATCGTATTGATAACGAGTTTAACAATGAATGATAAGACGGGGGAGGAGTGGAGGGAAGGGGGAAGAGGGGGAGGAGAATCACAACGCGTAGGAATATTTTTAATTTCTTAATTTTAAAATTTATCAAAAAGAATTATCTAGAATATTTAGTATAAAGTCTTGTTTTGGTTTTCCCTCAGGCATTTTGGAAAAGAAATAAAAGTTAAGAAAATACTTTTTCATAAAAAAACCAAATCGTTTCTCTCTCTCTCTCTTATTTTAATCATCCATCTTTCTCTCTCTTTTTCTTAATTTCCTCCTTTATTTTTTCCTCTTAATTTTTTACTATTCGATTTAATTTAAAAAGTAAAGAAAAAACGAAGGAAAATTACACAAATTTCCCAATTATTATTATCATCATTAAATAATTACGTAATAGTTTTTTATAAAGTGACGAATCATCACGTATTTATTAATAATAAATAAATGACGTCATTAAATTTCGAGGGTTTTTTTTTTTTAACCGAAAGGAAAGAAAATTTTATACATATATGAATAAATAATAATAATAAAAAAGGATTTCGAATAAAAAAAAAAAAATTACTTTTTATTACCGTATCGACGACGATTCGTGTTAAATAAAAAAAATTACACTTTCCTTTTTTCCTTTTTTTTTATTACCTTTTTTGACAAAAACAATTTTACAACCTTTTGTTTAATGCCAAATGTGCCGTTCGACCTTAACAAACAAACAAAAACGAAATTTTTTTTTAATCCGTAAATACGAAGCGATTTTAAATTAAATAGGTTTTCACTTCCTTTTCCGGTTTTTTCCTTCTGCTTTTCTTTCGGAGTGAACGAATGCCAAATTTAATGTATTATTTTATTCACAAAGCCATATATTTTATTATTTTATTATTATTATTATTATTATTATTATTTATAATAAAAATGTTAAAAAAATAATAATAAGAAGAAGTGGTGGTGGGGGTGGTAGTAGAATATATTTGAGGTCAGACTGGAGTCTGTCGGCCATTTTTTTTCTTTTTGCGACAAATTATGCGGTCGGCCATTTTTTTTTTTTTTACTATTTTCTATCGGTCGGCCATCTTTTTTTTTTAAAAATTGATTTTTAATTAAAGATAAATTTTCCAAAATGAAAATTATTCGAATAAATTTTGTCCAGAAATCCATAAAAAAAAAATTTTTTTTATTTCCAATCGGTCAATAGGAAAAAGGAAATTCAAAAAAAAAAAAAATTTCACGGTAATAAATATTCCTTCTCCTCCCCTTCCCTCGCCCCCCACAAAAATAACAATAATAAATTACTTAATAAAATGAATTTGATATAAAATTTTTTTTTTTTTCAATATAAATATATTTATTTTGGCACATTTTGTTTATAAAAAAGAAAAAAAAAATTTCGGAGTGCCAAAATTTTTTTTTGTGGGGGAGGGATGGGGAGGGGGAAGGGGGAAGGAAGAAGAAAAAAATCTGAAAAAGAAATTAAAAAAAAATAAAAAGAAAATCGAATTGAAAAATTTCAAAAAATGTTTTGATATCAACGGGCTAACCGTATCGCTTTATCGAAATGTTTATCAAGAGGAAAAAACTCGATAATCCAGGAAAAACAGAAACCCGCAAAAAGAGAGAATTGGGGGGCGGGGGCAGTACGGGGAGGAATTCAGAGGAATTAAATTCACGTATT